TCCAATGATAGTGTTTCTGACTGCAAGGATCAGATTTTCAAAAATCTACCATCCTTTCCTAAATCCTCATGATGAGAGTTGGGGGATCTGTAAGAGTAAAGTAGAAGTTTGATGGACAGCTGCAGAAATGACAAAAACAGAGTGCAGAGGGAGAAGAAAAAAATGAGGCTCATATATTCTGCAGTTTTCATGCAGTATCCATTTGCTTCTGTATATTTTTGAAAATGGAGTTATTTTACTCTGCAAATTTCTGTTTAAGAACACTCCGTTTAATAATTATAAGCCCAATATGTTAAACAATAGTCAAACAAAACCAGTTTACAAATTGTGAACTAGGCTATGGCAGGAACAGAATACTTCTCTTCCTATAGGCTATCTTGGAATTATTTCCCAGACCTAAAGGCAAAATATAATTTATACAACATCTTATTCAAGCCCATAATCACACCAGTATTATTTTTGCAATGAAGGGAAGGCATGAGTCAACCATGATGAACTTGAATGATGAAATCCACCATAGCTCTCAGAGGAGAGCACATCAGAAATCTTGATTATGAAGTACCTATTTAACTGCCAACGGTAAATGAAAGCTTAAGCCTATTAATAGGCTGAAGATAAATGTATTACTGTTTTGTTCTTCTTACTTTTTGTAAGAGCACTAAATAGGAAGATATTGAAAAGTAAGACCCTTAATAATTTAATGGAGGGAAAAAGGGAGATACTTTAAAACTGAAAATAAACAGAGCAAAAAGCTTCATTGTATACACCCTATGTTGCCAACCTCTTCATGAATATCTATATATCTACAAAAAACAAATGTTATTATTCGACCAAAAGTAATGTCTCTTACACTTGAATGGAGCCAACTGTGCCTTCTCAGTAGTACTTTTCTATCAAAGCTTTCAATTATGGCAGGTGGAAAAAAGTACTAAAAATAATCTTATTATCTTAAGGCTATTAAAGTTAATTGCATCTAGTTGGCTTAGCAGCAACTAATCTAGCATTTCAATCTCCTCATTAAACCATGCTGTAATATATCCTTTCTCTTCTAGTCAATGAATTGCCATTTTAAAAAGCAGTGAAAAGTGGAGGGTAACGTGGGTTATTTTGGTACCACTGTTAAGCTTATTTTAAGTTGCTTCGAAAAATAATCATTATAAGCAAAACAATTTCTGATTTATTACCTAAGCCAATTTTTTGGTTATTTGATTCAATTTTGGTGCTGCCCAACTCCAACACAATTAGATATAGTGATATGCTACCTGGGATTTTAACATCCAAAAAAACCCAAATTGTTTTAACGTAGCAAACTGCATGCAAATTTCAATGCAGCATTTAAATACATGTGAAAAAGATAATACTGATTTTAAAATCTAAGGGAATTGTGCAGAAGCATTTGGTGAGATTCCTGCTCATTCCCATTAATGGATCCTTTGTGCACAATCCTAATAGACATATTTCATGAGCATATTTGCTAATGTTTCTTATCTATATTATTTATGTGATACTCACTAGAGAAATACTTGACAAAATAAACCCTGGATTACTTGTACAGAAAACCTAGAGTACACATTTTTGATATGGGGTGATCACAATGCACACTGCATTTGCCACTGGCCTCACCACAGACTGAAATAAGTCAATTTAACTTCAGCATGGAATCCACTGTTTTCACAGTTTCATCCTTTCTTTCACAGAATTTCATTTGCTATGTTGATGCCCATCAACTAGTTAGGAGCTCTTCACAGTCCCATTTTGATTTATTGCCCTAAAAAATTTATTGTATTGAGTAAATTTGGTCACTTCATTGCTTGCGGATAATTTATAAACAAGGGAAATAAGGTAGGGAAAGCAGGCAGAGCAGGGCTTCTGGAGTTCCTTTCAACCACCTAATAGCAGCTCCATTTAGGGTCATATGACCAAGGAGAGGAGTGGGAAGGAACATTCTGAGCCACTGTGCAACTGCCTCTCCAATAGAGATGCACTGGGAGAATTCCTGAGCCCCTTTACATAATTTCTTTTCAGCATTCCATAGGGTAGGAAAGAATAAAAATTATTTTAAATACAATCTCAATTTTTGAAAAAATTCTCCATTTGAAGAACAGTCTGTGTATTCCTGTTCTCAGTCTCCTTTCTAGTAACTATTGGTCAATTAATAAGATCACTCCCTCTTCTCATCCATAACTTCTAAACCTATTTAAGAGCTTTTGTTGCATGCATGTATATTTTGAAATACTGTTATAATAGAAATCTATGCATGAAGGTAAGTGTTCAAGATTACTAGAAAGACAATCACTTTTCAGAACTTTCAGATACTTATTTTTTTTCTTTGAAACTCTGAATATAAATGCATTATTAGATAAATTGGTATGAGCAATGATCCTAACTTAACATAAAAGTAGATTATCTTGAGCTTAACTTGTAATGTGCTCCCTGTAGTATTTTGGTAGCCTTACAGAAGTGTTTTCCCATTGCCTTTTCCAGTACATTCACCCAGTCTAGTGAACAGCTCTGTAAGCCCCAAGTGAGCCCCTCTCTGCCTACTAACCAAGTCAACCCTGCTTAGCTTCCAAAATAGTCAAGGTCATCTAGATTTAGGCAACCATCAACAAGCCTAAAACTTCAGGGTTCCTACCTTTTTAATTTATTTTTAATGAATCTACAGATAGGTTGATCAAAATTATTTAAAATACATTTAAATCAGGTATGTGGAGTTCTATGAAAAGATTGCTCAAGAAGCTCAGAGTTTTCAGATTATCAAAAATGGATCCATTTTGTTAAGTATAATAGAATTGCATAACATTTCTGGAAAACTGTATTCAAGAACTTCTGGTATATGTACTTATTTCTGAAATGCATACAATTCCTCAATCCAATATCTACATTGTTAAATAAAAAATAATGTATTGCATTTATAGTAGGAATGCACAATATATACCCCTCTCAAAAACCTTGGGTTCAGCCTACCAAGCTTTAAACCTTGCTGCCAAAGTTTTAATATAATAAAAGGGTAAGTTATTAAATAAATGGGGAATAACAAACTATTTTAATAATTAATTATATTGGAATTACATCAAATTTACTTTTGCTGGTCACTTCCACTTTTGTCCAGGAATGTGACCTGAATACCAGGTGCAATCCTTGTTCTAGAAAAGATTACACATCCCAGATAGATATAATACATAAAATAATTAAAAGACAGTTGCTTTGTTATATTTTTACCAAACTTTCTTTGTGACTAAACACTAGAAACATTAAGCACTAGAAATATTAATCATATAGCAAATACAATGAACTCAAGTATATTCTTACAGTTTTTTTCTACTGTAGCAATCCTTCACATACACGTATGAATGGGTATTTTGAAAATCTGATTGAAGGAAAATGTAGCCCTTAAAGTGAACACATAGACTAGTTCACCAATTCTAACAGGGAGGATATGTTAAAAAGAATCAAGATAAATTCTAGTCATTCCCAGAGAAGTGAGAACTTGATTGTTAAGTAAATTTATGATGGCTGTACTGTAAAGTTATCTTGGATAAATTTTCCGGTAAAGGAATGTTTTAGGCACACGGTCAACAAAATTTCAGCATCCACTCAGAATTTCAATTGGGTCTAAAGGGGCTGGGCTAGGAGGAATAGGTTCTAATAAAAGGTAATAAAACCCATTGCCCCACATAGTCCTCTCTCTTTCTCATAGTTGCTGCTCTGCCCTCTACATGATTTCTCCAGAGTTCCCCTTCCTCTCTCCCTAAGGATCACACCTGGACTTGACTGTGAAAGTTAGTATGAAGTTATGTATCATCTGTGCAGATTCAGGAGAGGTATACATTCCCTCCATTTTATATTTCAGTTTTCTGTCCATTTAGTAGAGGTTTTTCTGTCACGTTTACTGCTTATATAGAAATTTAGTTCTGAATTCTATTCTTGGAACCATTAAAGGTGGAACCAAAATTTATTTATTTATACACACACACACACACACACACATACATATAATTTTTATTGAAGATTGTAATTATAGTAATGAAAACCAATACAAACTAAACTCAGAGAGAGAAATGAAAGTAAAAAGGGCAAAGAAAGAAAAAGTAAAGAAAAAAGAAAAAAAGAAAAGAGTAAAATACAGAAAAAGAAAAGAGATATATAAAGAAGTAACTTTCAATCTTCATCACAAGAAGTATAAACCAGTTTGGTAGCTCTTCACCCCCATAAGTCACAAACAGGTATCCCTTCTTCCCATAACCCATCCCTTAGCTATAAGCAAATCCGTGAGATGTGGATCCAAAAAATGTTAATGCTAATTTTGCCAAACCATTCTTGATCCAAAATGTATGGTCTGCTGGAGCTAGGTCCACTCTGAACCAGTTTCATGGACACACTGCAAATAGCCACAACCATTTTAACCGGATTGCAAGTGGGCTGTTCTGTATAGCATTAAGCTGTTCTTGAACAGCAACTCACCACAGAGATAGAGAAAAGCCTTAAGACATCAAAACACCAGCCTTTACTGATTCAGTAACTTCTTTGATAGCAATCCTGACACTGTTTTCTAATCTATTCTGTAAGCCTTCTAAGTGCCCCTCCTTGAAGCCTGTTTTCATGCTTAAACATTTCTATTGAACTTTTCTGAAATGAGCTTGATCCACTTCCCTCTTGTTATATGTTAAACCATCAATAAACTGTAAATTGGAGCTAAAACATTGCCTCAGCCCCCTTTTGTTTTTCTTTGGCCTCTCTCTCACTTAATAAGTATGTGCTTAATTTATATCACAAAGATTCTTTAACACATAATTTCCCTACATGTGATAACACTATATAAGTCAAGAGAGCTTTCCCTTGGAGGAATAAAGAACCAAGATTCATGTTAAGACTGTTGTAGTGTGATTAAACCTGTTACCTAGCCTTTGTCTCTGGTTGGCTCAAATTCCATTGCAAGAACTAGTAAGGATGCAAGTTATGCATAATTGTTAGTCCTTCAAGGTAGTCCAGATAAGAAGCACAACCAGGAGCATCAGCACTATATTTATTGTAGGGTTACATTAAACAGAATCTTGCAAGACTGAAAGTATTTCTCCCTTCCTCTCTTTTTAGTCTCTGGAAAAGTAGGGAGGGTCCCTGCTGAAACGCTTCCCACACTTTTTCCCCACCTGCGGACTGAGTTGCCTCTTATCAGACTGTTGCCTGGGCTGCAGGTCTTCCTCCTGTCTTCCAAGGTCATTCCCACATATTATAACAATAATACAGAACTTGATAATCTACAACATACTGACCTTTTCTTCTCTCTTTCCTCTGAACCAGCATTGTTCTAATAGACAAGAATTTTCAGTTTAAACTAACTGTAGACACTGATCTGTTAAATTATTAACTTAGAAGGAAGAGTAGTATACAATATGTTCAAACCTAATCACTTGTGAAATGGAGCTGGGGAAAAGCTACGGGAGGATTTACCTTCTGGATAATCTCACCTAAAACTCCTGTTTCTTGTACTTTCTCTTCAGTTTTACCATCTTGTCGATAGCCATTCTGTTCTTCAGTCTCATCATCACCCCACCAAGATGGCTGCCCATACAGTGGTGTGCCTCGAGGCATTCCAGAAAGATCTAAATAAACAGAAAGATTTTTTTTTATAAAACAACCCAAGTAACAATATGGCAAAATAGTTCTATAATAAGTGCCAATATATTTTAAATTCTCTAGTTCTTTCATTCAGGTACCTTTGAGACTTTCCATAATCTAAGTGTTGCTATACAAATTGCATCTTTGCTTATACTGTAGTTGCTTGCAATGCAATTTAAACAGTTTGCCTTGAGTTTTAAGTGAACTTTAAGTCACTTTCCACCTTCTTTTTCATGTTGTTAATATTTACAACTTTGTGGATTTCAGAGCTGTTGCAGGATGAAAAATTTGCTCTAGGACAAAAGGTTAACCCCTTTAAAAAACAAAAACAAATATATAGAAGGTAATAATACAGAAAGCAACAACTTATACCTCTTTCATGAAATACAGGGGACTGAATGGTTTGTTACACTGTAATTTTCTGTTTCCATTTATACCTTATCAACCAGAGAAGCATACTATGGTATTTTAGAAAAGTGGTTTCTCTTATCTGCATATATGGAATGAACCTTTGCTGCAGTTCTTTAGTGTGAGAAAAAGTTCTGGCAATCTTTTGGAAGAGAGTAATTATTGTTCCCCCAGTCAGCTGTCTTCAGAAATGCTTGTAGATGATCCCCAGGAAGGGAAAGTAAAAAAGGGGGAGGAGGAATTTTCGGATTTAATGGGCAATCACACTTAACTGACATTTCTTCCTCCTGAACAATCTGTTAAATTAAGGCTTCCCTGTATAAGTTAAACAGGATGGCAAATCACTCTGGCAATTAAAGCAACCAATGCAGAATAGGTATTAAATGTTACAATCACATAACCTCCCCAAGAATTGGGGTAGAATGAACACATTGAATGTTCTGAACTATGGTGGGAAAAACATTTCAAGTTTGAACTATCTTGAATCCAACACACCCTGTTCTGAACTTTGAGGATCTTGGAGGTGTTATCCAAATATTACTTCATGCTCACAACGGTGTGAATTCAAAAACATTTTGTACCTTCCTATTCTGAATCCGCTTCAAAGGCAGAATAACAAGATAATACTATATTAGTCTAATGTAGGTTTAACCTGGCACATGCAATGATGACAAGATTCATATTCTTTAGACAGGGTTTAGGCCTCAAGAGGGTTTTATTAGGAATTTAACCTGATTAAAAAGGCACTTCTATGCTATAATGTCACCTATGCTTCTGTCTACCATACTGAATCCAGGAGTATGCTTATCTTCTTCTCACAAGCAAATTTTGAGAATACAACCTCATCCCAATCCAGTTGCATACTACCTTGGACATAGCAAAGAAGGAGCAAAGTACCTTTGCCTTTGTCTTATGTGGATTGTTTCAGGCTGTCTTCATCCATCTCAAAACTACAGGTAGTCTTCGACTTACGACCACAATAGGGACCGGAAAATTTGTTGTTAAGCGGTGCGGTCGTTAAGCCAGACATCACGTGATCGCGACTTCCGACCTTCCCTGCTGGCTCCCCACTGACTTTGCTTGTCGGAAACTGGCTGGGAAGGTCACAAATGGTGATCATGTGACTGCAGGATGCTGCAATTGTCGTAAATGCACAACAGTTGCCAAGTGCCAGAATCATAATCACATGACCATGGGGATGCTGCAATAGTCATAAGAGCAAGGACCAATTGTAAGTCAC